GTATAGCCCCACTATATACCTAACTGCTATCGAAGAAATTTCTACCCTGACATCAATCAAAGATTCAAGTAACCCCTGCTGAAATAATCTGCAAATTAGTACAAGTCAAGACTTTGGAAAAAAAACAACAAACAGAAGCCCTACATATCTTGAACAAATTTAGTGGTTTGTTTGCCTTCAGGTTAGATGAATTGGGCCAGTATCAAGAGATCCAATATAAAATCGATACTGGTAATACAAGGCCTATTAAGCAATCAGTGTATCAGGTTTTGCTAGATGAACAAGACTTCCTAAACAAAAAAATAGAAAAATTGTTGGAAAATAAGTTAATTTGTGAAATTAAGAGTCCCTGGACTTCACTGGTTGTTATTATCCCTAAAAAAATAGAAAGCTCAGGTTATGCGTTGACTATAAAAAGTTAAATATAGTTACAAAGAAGGATGCGTTTTCCCTACCCCGCATTGATGATTTATTAGAGACATTTGGAAGGGCTGAATGGTTTTCTTTTTTGAATTTAGCCAGTAGATACTGGCAAATAGGAATAAAAAAAGAAGACTGTGAGAAGACTGCATTTATAAACAAACAAGATGTTTATACTTTTAACATGATACCCTTTGGATTATATAACGCTCTAGCAATGTTTCAAAATGCCATGAACTATCTTCTATATGAAAATATTAGAAAATATGTAGCTATATATTTGTATGATATAATAATTTACTCTGCAACTTATCATAATCATTTGACCCATCTATCGAATATTTTTTCTAAAATAAGGGCTGCCAGATTAAAATTAAATCCAAAAAAATGTGACCTATTCAAAACTAATATCAATTTTTTAGGACATATAGTAGAAAAGAAAAGATAAGGCCTGACGAAAATAAGATGGCTAAAGTTAAGGAATTTCCAACCCTAACTAACTTGCGGCAATTAAGAGGCTTTATAGGTCTTGCCTCTTATTATTGTCATTTTATCAAAAACTTTGCCATGATAGCTAAGCCGTTACATAAATTATTAGAAAAAGGGGTTAGATATGAGTGGAAGAATAAATAGGAGCAATCTTTTAATGAATTAAAGACTCATCTCATGATAGCTCCAATTCTTAGATATCCCAATTTTGAAAGAACTTTTTATCTTCATATGGACCCTATAAAAAATGATGCACAGAATTTATAGTCAAACACAAGTACGTGACAGCACGAGAGTATACAGAACTATATAGAATATAACACGGGATGGTGCATAGGAAAACATGCACTGGACATGTAAAAAGGTGTGAATTCTGTGCAATAGTACACGTAATAGCTTGCTTTTTTACGTGCTTTCTTATGCAATTTTTCATATAGTTACATATAGAGCTATTTATTATTTTGTGTATATGACATGTATATGAAAAAATTTCGTGCAATTACATATTCATCGATTTTGCATGTATGTGGATTCTGTGCAACTGATCTGATTTCTGTGCTTTGGATATGCTATATTTCATGCAGTCATTTGCAATTACGTATAAAAATTTCTTATAGTGGGATGCATCAGGTGTTGGTCTTGGTGCTGTGCTAGTACAGAAGGATAATAATAAAAGGGAGTATGTTGTTGCATATGCTAGCAAGAGCCTAACTCATCCTGAAAGGAATTACTCAGCCACTGAGTTGGAATATTATGCAGTGGTTTGGGCGGTCAAGTATTTTCACCATTATCTGAGCTACAAGCCTTTCATAATAGTTACCAATCATTTGGCACTAAAATAGCTCCAAACTAGTGTGTTGAAGGGCAAAAGGGCTTGTTGAATTCTACGTCTCCAGCCTTACAATTTTATCATCATCTATCGGGCTGGCTGAGCATATAATAATGCAGATGCATTATTCAGGATGATTGAAGACAAATGTAATACATTTAACCCCTACAAAAAAAACAGCTAATATGGAAAGTATTGATAGAATATATAAAAAAGATACAACTTTGGAACTCCACAAAATCCAGAGGATCGGACCAATAGTTATATAGAAGAGGTTAAAGTGTTTCACGTGATATCAGAAAACCATTCTGTAGGAAGAATTGAGGAAAAAAATAAAATTCATAGTCAGATGCTAAAAAAGCATGGGATGATATATGGACCAATCGGTGGGAT